TCATGTATAATGTACCTACGTACAATAATTCAAGTGGTAAAACTGTTAATTCACGTTCATATGAATAATTACAAATTACTATCTGTACACGGCAACGCGTTACTTTGTCACGTTGTTGCATTGATGAGGAATAAAGAACAAAACTGACGCGGAAAATAAGTAAAAGCCTTCTCTGAAGCTTGTTGTATATTAGAACTTGAGTTTTTGAAACATACACAAACCAACTTAGCATTTTATGTACATAGATTGTGTAAGTTAGAATGAGGTATGTATGAGAGAACCGCATAGAGAGCTGGGACAGCTGAAACAGCAGAGAGTGGGCAGAAATAGACCGGCTCGACCTTCAAACCTTCAAGAAAAGAGCGTACTCCTAAAAGGCCGGCAACGCGTTTGTGACTATTGAGTGTCAGACGTTCATTGGCGGCGATGGTCACTTTCCATCAGATGACCCTGCCCCCTCTAACTTAAAAAAGGACCTATACGACGGCCTCACAGTTTTTTTTTAAAACAATATATCCTGTGTCGCGGGGGACTTGACAAACATACATGAAACGGACACAAAGAACACCCAGACTCAGAGCAACAATGTGTGGATCACACAACGTGTTATCCCATGCGGGGATCGAACCACAACACTTAGCGCAGTAGGAAGCGGCGTGGCTACCACTTAAACCACTACGCCACTACTCTGAGACCTCTTGAGCCGCTACTGTTGATGGCAAGGCTCAAATGTTTAATGATCTTGTTCATAAGTTATACGATAAGCGTGCACCGGGGAAGAAGGTCAGGATGAAACACGCGCCAGCACCTTGGTTAACCGAGGGTATACGTATGGCGATGCGCCGCAGAGACCGGACCTTTCGTAAATTTAGGAAAGATCGTTGTGAGACCAATTGGACCATCTACAAAACTGCAAGAAACAAATGCAATCAAATGATACGCAACGCCAAACGCCACCACATTCTCCTGAACATTTCTTCCTCCACGCCGGCCGGTATCTGTAAGTTCCTTAGGACTTTCGGTGTAGGTAAGGTTCAGCATCCAATTTCATCTGTGACTGTTGGCTTGGACGACATGAGGCAAAGGTCAAACTCTCGGTTATGTTACCGGGCTTGCGCGGCGGGATATCGAAGCCTTCTCGTTTTCTCCAGTTGCCTCGGAAGAGATCAAAAAAACAATCCTAAAAATAACATCTAAAGCTGTGGGCTGTGACGATTTAAGACGCTTTATGATAGTCACCGTATTGGACCTACTTCTTCCTGCAATCTTCCATATAATCAACTTCTCCCTTGACTCCAGACACTTTCCAGCCGCATAGCGCAGCGCATACGTTCGCCCTCTTCCAAAGATTCCATTTCCGACCCATTTCAATTCTCCCTTTCCTATCCAAAGTACTAGAGGCGTGTGTTCATAAACAACTCTCCAAATTTATCCACCAAAACAATATCCTCAGCTCACTTCAATCAGGATTCAGACCTGGACATAGCACAGTTACAGCTATGCTTAAAATGACCAGTGATATTAGGAATGGTGTGGAAGACGCAAAAGTTACTATTCTAATCCTGATTGACTTCTCCAACGCCTTTAACACAGTCAACCACGATATCCTCATATCTATCCTCACCCATTACATGGTCTCCACAGAAACACTGGAATGGTTTTCATCTTATCTTCGTGGACGTCGGCAGTCGGTCCGCATTGATGAAGCATCATCAAGTTGGTGTGATCTTGCTGCTGGCGTTCCGCAAGATGGTATTTTATCTCCTCTTCTATTCTCGATGTTTATCAATCTTATTACTCTCGATCTTCGGTGTGCGTATCATTTGTATGCGGATGACCGCACAGACCAGCCTCGATAACATAGTGGCAGCAATTCAAAACATTAACAGTGATTTAGTAGCAATCAAAAACTGGTCTGAGCGTTTCGGCGTAAGTGTGAATCCCTCCAAGTTTCAGTCCATAATTATAGGTAGCCCCAGAATGATGAGCAGATTAGACACATCAAAACTGCCGGCGATCGTTTTCAACGGGTCCGACATACCGATCAGGCCATTTGTCAAAGATCTTGGCTTATGGATTGACTCCAGCCTCACTTGGCAACAGCAGGTTGCAAACGTAAGTCAAAAAGTCACTCGAACCTTGCGATCACTTTATCGGCAAAAGGACTTCCTTCCACATACTACTAAGTTAATGCTTGTACAGGCTTTGATCTTTCCAATCATCGATTATGGTGATGTATGCTATCTCGACCTGAATGCAGATCTACTCAACAAACTTGATCGACTTCTCAATAATTGCATTCGATTCATCTTCAACCTCCGCAAGTATGACCATGTGTCTGCCTATCGATCCCAGCTGTCATGGTTACCTATACGTCAGCGCCGTAGCTTTATTCTCTTCTTAATAATCCTACAGCTCCCACTTATCTCACTTCACAGCTTTAACCGCTATGCTCCAACCATGACAGAGATCTTCGGTCCACTAATAATCTTTTACTCTTGTATCCAATCCACACTTCTTCTCTTGTTCATTCTTCATTTGCTGTCCAGTCTATCCTACTATGGAATGCGCTCCCGCTTGAGATCAGGATGTCAGGAAGTCGTGACACGTTCAAAACTAAAGTCCGAGAATTCTACAGGAAACAGCTAGCAGAAATATTCTCATGATATCGTCACCCAAACTTTATTGTATTCATTTTATTCCGTATGTATAATATATTAATAGTTATCTATGTATTCGTCTATCTATATCAAATAGTATTATCAAATGAATGTTATATTTTTATAGCTTCTCTTCTTATTACATAATACGTGTGCACCTGCCATGTCCCTTACTGAACCATCTTAAGGGTGACTGGTAAACTGTAATGCAGGAAGTGTAAAAATAAAATAAAATAAAATAAATTGTTTTTTTTTATTACACAGCTACGAACTATAATAAATATTACTGCCGTTCTACGCAGTTACATTTTATGATCACTGCTCGTCACCTAAAAGTCGTATCGTGTTGTTAAATATCTTATAATGTTCATTAACAATTGGGCTATTAAATCCATGCTTCCATATTTCTTTACATAGTATAAAATTAGGTCGCCTTTTTGTGTCGTACGCTTAGATCTTTTAAAGTAAGCAACGGATTTTAACGCGGTTTTCACCAATAGAGAGAGTGCTTCAAGAGAAAGGTATATATGTATAATACATGCATATTATAGAAGAGGAAATCCGAGAATTTCAAAGATTTATCGTAAAAACATGTTTTTGTGCGCTTATAATGCAAACGCTGGCTAAACCTTACGAGATAGACAAAAATAATGTACTACGAAATTGTATATCTGAAAAAGATCTACAAAAAATTTAAAGGTTGTTTAAGAAGCCATTTAAAAAAATACATTATTATTCCTTATCCAATTAAATACGTTGGGTAGGTTGTTAATTTAATGTAAATTAAAATGGCTCTTTCCAGCATATCATTAAAATGAATATTTTAGAAGTTAAGTCGGTGTCTAAGAATCCTCCTAGCTAGATGAAATTACAAATCAGCCCCAAGCCTCTACACAACGTCCCTTATTTTTTTCTAGGTCTCTTACCCCCTTTAGGCCTGCAGCGCCCACAAGGGGGCGTTATCGCCCACTTTGGGAAAGGCTGTCATAGATCAACACACACAATAGCATTGACTGCACCGATGGCGTAGTGGCTTAAGCGGTCGCCACGCCGCTCACTACAATGCTGAGTATTGTACAGCGCGCGACACAGGATATATTGTCTTAAAAAAAAAACGGTTTTCTGAGAAGCCGTGGTATAGGGTCCACCTAATGGAAAGTGAGCCTCGAACTAAACTAGTGCAAAAATATTTTTCGAAATGCTACTATAGTTTTCGAGATAAACATCTAAATAAAAACAAATTTGCTCAGCATCGTCAGATCATTAGTAGTTTTACTCGAGTTTATGGACACTGCTGGCGCTGGCCCCCGGGGGCACAGCAGTGTCAATAAAGGTCAGTGTCATAAAGGAATAATTCCAAAAAATAAAAAAAGTTGAAAGATACATTTTGGTACTTACAAATCTTCGTAAAATCACGGTAGGTACGGAACCCTCGGCGCACGAGTTCGACTCGTACCTGACCGGTTTTTTTTTAATATTAATGAATTGTAGTCAGAATGACATCACCAAGCATCCTCTAATTGTATCTGTAGATCTCCCTATAAAAAAATTAATATAATACATGCATCTGTCATTTACAACGTAAACATAGAAACTGTTAAGTAGGTATTTCATTGTATACATGTGCTGATAAAATCTTGTAATTATTTTCTCACAGCGCACTCTTGATTATGTGTTAAATTATTCGGAGATAATTATACCTAAACTCACGCGCTTTGTATCCAAATGGTTAAACAGAGGTGTAATAAGCTTTGGTCCTCAGTCATTTAGGTAATAAGGAGCCGAAACCTTTACAGCCTAAGATCAAATAATATAAAGTTAAGAAAGGACTCTGAGAACAAAGAAGTGAGGCCAATTAAAACTCCACATTGGCGCGTACATACACAATTACACGTTGTACATAAATTCAACGACTTGTCAGTAAAAACTTCATAAAAAATGTCAACAAATGCCGAATTGTGTTGTGAAAGGGTGTACAAATTAAACTACAAGAGATAGATAGTTGGATGGACTTTCATTTCACACGTAAGTAAGCGTGGAAACCAATATTTTCATTACAAAAACATTGTGATGGCAGCACTGGCCCACGCACACCTGTTTATAAAACACGCAAAGTTCCAGCTTAAATTTTTTAATATGATCTCAGCTTAGGGCGCTCTGAGAATAGGGTATCACACCCGTTTTATTAAAAGTGTCTATTAGATTCCATAGTGTTAAAACGCAATTATTTATTTCCCGATTGTTTTTCTGCCTATTACCTACCTATTACCTACTTTTTGTCAACTAATACTGTGCCATTTTCTAGATGCAGATGCGGTGATGTGAAGTGATCACGACAAGATGGCGGTAGGGGAGGCGCGTGTGCCGATCCTGCACGGTGAGAGGCCGGTTCACAGCAGCAGTCCAACTAAGCAGACGGAGAAGCATCACGGTGAGTTTTCCTTTTTTTCTTTGTTTGTTTGGTTGATGGTATTGTTATTTTTTCACTGTGCTTGCTGTGGTCTTCTGTGAGTGAAGGAGTACAGTACCCATTCTGTTAATTACTGTTTTTTAATAACTTTTAAAATAGGTTTCGTGGTTTAGGCTTGAAAGCGTTACAAACAAATAAACTCACTTTTACATCTATACAAATAAATAAAATTGAAGTGTCTGTTTGTAATGTCAAAACAATAGATATTTTTTTGCTCACACGGTTATTTGCGCGATACCTATGCCTAAAAACCAGTTTAAATATTTTTTGCCTGTCTGTTCAAATATTCAAAACGGCTGGACCTATTTTGATAATATTTTACTATCAGGTAGCTGTCTTTATAAGGAGTAACTTAGGCTTTTTTGTCCCTCAGAAAAAGCCCATATAAAATTTTACCCGGTCCGGCTATCGAATCCCAGGCCTAATGGACTGCTGTCGCGTACCGTACTAAACTATTAAGGCAGTGCTATTCTAATCCATGCAAATGAGTTACCAGCTAATTTATAATATAAGTCTGGATTATTAAAATGTGTGTTGTTCGAAACCCTTAGATTCGAGCCAGCTTGAGGTGCCTCGCCTCAGCAGAAGCATGACGGTGGTGACGTCGCTGGTCGCCGGCGCGTCTGCTGGTGCGTTGGCGAAGACTGCGATAGCACCTCTCGACAGAACCAAGATCAACTTCCAAACATCGTAAGTGATTCGAATGGACTATTACACATATAAGTAGGACTGACTACAAGCCACAACTAACTGTAAATTACGCGCTCTAGCTATCTAGAATTATTAAAATGTTAAGTTGGTTTGTAAACGCTTCAAAAATTTAAAAAGTTCTGCTCAAATTTTGACACAAATTTTATTTTTAATTGTTTTTAGGGGTCCGTACCTCAAAAGGTAAAAAAGGAACCCTTATAAGATCACTTTCTTGTCCGTCTGTCCGTGTGTCACCACCTATTTTCTCAGGAACGGATAGACCTAGCAAGTTGAAATTTATACCAGATACTGTCCTGAGTCAGTAATAAGGTCCTGAGTCAATAGGATGAAAAGATATGGGCAAATTTCGATCTTCGCGAAAACTTGTAAGTACCAAAATTTACCTTAATTATCAACTTTTTTTATTTTTCAGAATTTTCTCTTTACTTGTGCTGTAAGACCTTGCTTTTAACCAAAATTGTCAATTCTAGGTCAACCAGAAGTACCCTATATGTTTTGGGTCGAAAACCTAAATGGTAGTTCCCGTTGACCTAGAATCACGAAATTTGGCAAAAAGAAACGTCTTAAAGGACAAATAAAGGAATAATTCCAAAAAAAAGGTAGAAATTTAGATAAATTTTGGTACTTCTAAATTTTCACGAAAATCGATGTAAAATCTGGGTAGGTACGGAACCCTCGGCGCAAGAGTTCGACTCGTACCTGACCGGTTTTTTTTTCATGTCAGTTTCGTTCCTCATTTGTCAATAATGCAGCCACAATATGATATGCTAATAAAACACAACAGGGGTTAAAATCCGATGCAGGTTTATTGTCACATAGGATTCTTTTGGTAAGACTTGGGGCTTTTAAGTTTAATAGCATACGTTCAACACGTTATCATGTTCGATTCGATAGGTCATGGATTCGATTCCCACCCGAGACATTATACTGTTAATACACGAGCACGAGCATTTGTTCTGTATTTGAGTGTAATTTATCTATAATGTGTATCATCATCTTTAACCTTTAGTAGTCCACTGCTGGACATAGGCCTCTCCTTGGAAAGGAGATTTTGGCCTACTATATCACGCTGGCGTCTGGCCAGCGTGGTACAGTAAAATCCTAACGGGTACTCAAATACAAAAAAAGTTTTCAAAATCGTTTCGTAAATGACGGTCTACTAAGGTAACAAATATTCAAAATAATACAACTAAATAGAGAGTACTTTAATTTTTGAAGTTGGTTAGAAAAATGAAAATAACATACCTACCTGCCTTACCTAATCTTTGAATTGCCAGAAGTACCCACATTAAGAGTCACACACACGTCATCACACAACAACTACCTTTAATAGTCAAGTGCTAGTCTTAGAAAGGAGGTTTTGGCCTACTATACCACGCTGGCCAGACGGGTTGGTATAAAGTTTGTGTCAAGTTTTCATTCTCTTTGCAGTGCTGTTGCCCGGCGTAGTTTGCTCCCTCAGTCGACTCTTACGACACCCACGGGATAAATAAGGATGGTGACACTCCGTATTCTTAATCCGTCACCACACGATATATATACATGTGTATTTAGTGTGTACAATAAAGAATAAATGAATGTGTATTGTGTTGTGAAGTCAGACGCCGTACTCTTGGCGCGCGGCGGTACGGTTCATGCGGATCAGCGCGCGCGCAGAGGGCGTGGTGGCGCTGTGGCGCGGCAACAGCGCCACCATGGCTCGCATCGTGCCCTACGCCGCCATACAGTTCACCGCGCACGAGCAGTGGAAGCGAGTGCTGGGCGTCGACACCCCCCAGTCTGCCAAGTGAGTTATAACTTTTTTTTTTGACAATATAGGCGCAAAACGAGCAGGTTGGTCATCGGATGGACATGGACACCTTGAACCTAAGAGACACGAATGCGGTTTAAGAGTCCTCCCCGCCGAAATGGGGGGGGAAGGGAGGCTTGGGATCTTTTTTTTTTATTTTACACCGAGTGACCAAACCTCTTCTCATCCTTATTCCGGGGTGGAGAGGAGCTTAAAAGACGGCAACGCATTTGTAACTCTTAGTTACAGTGTCCATGAGCGGCGATAGTCACTTACCATCAGATGACCCGGCTGCTCCTCTACCGTCTATATAATAAAAAAGTGTGTGTGTCAGCTCCGACGCACGACCGAATTTACTCGTTAAGAACAATTTGGCTGCACACAAGTATACAAGTTATACACACACATGCGAAAGATGCGCACGATATGTAGCGCATAAAAACGTAACGAGGTCATTCGATCACTAAATTTTACTCTTCAAATTATTTTCATACCAGGCGCCTTATATGAAAATCATTCTTAAGGAGTAAACTCCAAAAAACATTATGAATTACCACGTGAAAACTAGAGGGGGGTTTTGGTACGAGTAGGTATATACTGCGGTTGGTCACCGTGAGGGTCACGTAGAACGGGTACGTTCGCTTATGTATATAGTGCCTAAATTTCTAAAGCATCAGCCCGTGACCACAGCCAGTGTAACCTGGTCGAAACGTCAGACAACTCCAAAAGTATGCAGTACATTGTAATTGATAGTGTTAATTTCATTAATTAAACAAGATATTTTGCCAAAAAAAAACACCATTTTATTCTGCAGAGCCTATCCCTTACTGCACCTGATGGCAGGGTCCTTGGCAGGAGTGACGTCACAGAGCGCCACCTACCCTCTGGACTTGGCACGAGCGCGGATGGCGGTCACCAACGCTCAGGAGTACAGCACTCTCAGGGCTGTGTTCGTCAAAGTAACCCGAGAGGAAGGTCTCAGAACCTTGTGCAGGTAATTTAGCCGGTTTACTTACTTTCACCTATGTGCTCCACTCCAAAGGATTGTAGCTTGATGTTGAAAATGAAAAGGGCAAAGAAGCTAAAGGGGGTGGACATAAGCCTGTCCTAATTTGTGTCTTAGTACATGGTTCTTCGTCTTCTGCATCTAGTCTGTCTCTTCGACCTTCTTAAGGCCTTCAGTCCACCTGGCTAAAGGGCGTTTCACCTTCTGCTTTTCATTCCGCAGTCTCAACTGTCCATAACACTGATGATGATAACGATACATACATTTAAAAAATGGCACGATGGACCTATGACTTGAGGAAAATGGCTGACAGCCAATGGATGCAGACTGCCCAAGACTGGGATAGTTGGCGCTTCTTGGGGGAGGCCTTCCTTCCTGCGAGCCTTTTTTCCAAACTGGGTTTTGGTCGGCTTTAAGTATACTACGATACGGTTCAACTTCGCTTTTTTCATTAAAGCGACTGCCATCAGACCTCCACAACTCAATTACTAGGCGATATCGAAGTTCTGTAGAAAGACTGCAGGCGACAGGTGACTGACTGGCGATAGGCTGATGCGGGGGTGGGAACGGCAATAAAACTCATGACTTCCGACGAAGCAGTCCATAATATTATTATTAGCTTTGTATTGTGTCTCCAGGGGTTATCCAGCTACGGTGCTGGGCGTCATACCATACGCAGGAGTAGCTTTCTTCACGTACGACTCACTGAAGCACAAACATTTAGGTAAGTTCTTCTTTTAAGTTTTTTTTCTTTAGTCAAAATTGAAGGGAGAAAGACAGACATGTTACAGAAATATTTGAATTCTCCTGGACATATTGATAGTGGGGCATTGCTTTCTCTTCGAGTCCACTCTTACCTATTACAAGTTATCTGATAGTGTTTAACAGCATATCCAATAAGGATAGAAAATACTAAGTCGAAACGAATATCATAGAATATTGTCTTAAAAAACGATAGCGTGATTCAGCCAGATGAAACAACGCCCTCTATCTATCTATCATTAATAGCTTTTAATAACTAAAACTAGGTTCAGACAGTTAAGACACACGAAATGATATCATTAAAAATTATTAAAATTATCGTTTAAATTCTAAAACCTATTATAAAACCGAACTATGTGCTACTTATTGTCGCTAGATGGTGCTGGCTTTATTTTTATACCGTATAATAGTTGGTATTGGTTCATGGGTACATTTTTACATAGTTTCATTTCTACGGAACTAGCAAGTTATGACGTTTCGAAGATATTTAAAGTGATAATGACCGATATAAAAAAAAAACATATCTGATCACCGCTGGACTAGGCCTTATGAAGTGGAAGACTGAAGCTAGCCCAGGAACGGGTGGCCTCGTAGCCTTGGCGAAGGCTGGTTTGAGTTATCACTCAACAATGAGACGGTTTTGGCCAAAAAAAATGTACTTGTGTTATAGAGTACTTCGGAACACAGCAAGGCCCGCTCACGAACGTGGTGTTCGGTGGCATAGCTGGTGCGGTGGCGCAGAGCACGTCCTACCCGCTCGAAGTCGTGCGCAGGCGCATGCAGACGTGCCGGCCCGGCGCCGACGGCCGCTACAACTACTCCACCATCGGGGCCACGCTGAGCCTCGTGTACAGGTGACTGCTTATCCTTGCATCTTTCGTTGCAACATTTAAAATAGATCTACAAAAAAGATGATTGAGAATTTCCATTGCGCGATGCACCATCATCACTTACTAAGTAGTTCGACATGTGTGATACTGTGTGACACCTGATGGTAAGTACCGATACCCACGGTCACCTGCAAGTCAAGTTTGTCGCCTTTTGTCCCCCCGCCGCCAGAATCAGAGGGGAAGGTAACCTCACTCAGTCAACCACATCATCACATTCTAATTTCGCCTTTTTCTTTCTCCTCAGATCTGAAGGCTGGCGCGGTTTCTTCAAAGGCCTAAGCATGAACTGGGTGAAGGGCCCCATCGCTGCGGGTATATCGTTAGCTACCTACGACTTCATCAAAACCACGCTCAGAGATGTAGCCGTTCACCTAGAGAGCTAGTAGACATAGTATACCCCCCTTAGGGGGTATAACCCTTACTAAAAGTGGGGGGTAAATGGCTGAAGAATGTAATATACTCGTCCGAGTACATCTCATAGATTAAAATGTAAAAGATGTTATTTTATATATTAGGGTATTTATATAAGGGTTATACCCCCCTTAGGGGGTATAACCCTTACTAAAAGTGGGGGGTAAATGGCTGAAGAATGTAATATACTCGTCCGAGTACATCTCATAGATTAAAATGTAAAAGATATTATTTTATAGAAGAAAAAGGAGAATTGTGGGTGTTGCAGAAGTGTGGTGATGGTGACTTGTGTTACGTGAAGATATTATAGTTATAGCTTTAAAAAAAATCACTCACTCTAAACACTTGAAGACAAAAGCCTTTTGTAAAAGTTTTTAATAAGTCGACTGACTTGTTGACAATAAATATATATAATTAATTATAATATTACTCCCCGAAATCAACTGTTGCAAAACAATTTAATATATTTAATAAAGAAATACCGTTCCTTTGTATTTTCGGGCTCTAGAGGGGTCCGTTTTTAACAGTGATGCGACTAACGTTATCGCGACAGTTCGCTACGACTCTTGAAAAAGGATCCCGTTCCGGTTCGAAGATATTATGGAATGTTACACCATTTATAACTCAAGAACGGCGGGACCAATTCTGGTATGATTATTGTGTTTTTGGATTTGTCTTCGTCCGGAATAGGATAATATGTATTAAATAAGATATTCATAAAAAAAAACATCAGTCAAGCCGTTCATTTCTTGTAAATGGTATAACGAAACGCAACTGACAGCTCACGTAATGTTGTCTATGGTTTGTTTTGTAAATACCGCGAAACCTTGAAGGCGACCGGTCGATGTGTTTGTTTTGTGCGATTGTTACGAGATTTGTACGAGTATTATTATAATAAATGTTATTGTGCTGATATTCTGGCGGAACGAAGTTCGCCAGGTCACCTAGTTTATTATAATACTGTGTTAGTGTGGTAGTGTTATAACTAGTTATTATTGTTTAGGGGACACAACATTGCGGCTTTATTAGATCTGGAAAGATGATAATAAGCGGCGGTAACCTAGTGGTTAAGGCATTGGACTTGCGATCAAGAGGTCGTGGGTTCGAATCCTGACCAGTACACTACCGACGTGAACCTACTCTTAACACAAGCAATTTAGCTTAACTGGAGGGGTTAACGGGAATACTAGTAATTTCGGTTGCTAGTAAGCCTTAAAAAAGTGGTAGGGCCATACAATAAAAAAATAACATAAAAATGTCTCACAGGGTGAACACTCAATTTCAATTTCAATTTCAATTTATTGCATTCCATAATGTACATTCAGGTGGTAGGCTTAAAAGTAGATAACAATTATGGACCCTGTCGGGCACAGCACTATCAGGAGAGAGGAGGAGCTGCCTAATTATGCTAGTTTGAAGAGCTTGATTTCAATACCAACATTTTCTGCTTTAAACGAGATAAACTAATTAAACCAAATAGTATATTTAACTTGCATGTTCATAAAAGGATGTAGTTGTTGATAATTTAATAAATTTATTAATGAACAATGTCAGTACAAAATTATTTTACCATTCATTGCATATCAATTTATTGCATAGTCATTCATTATATATTAATATTTATTAAATGTAAATTTATTAGATTTTATGTCTATACTGGCATGTGTTTATAATGATTAATTTTAGTTATTTAAAGTTTATAATTTATCTTCTAAGTATTCCTTGACACTGTAGTAGCATTTATTTATCAGGAGTTTTTTTAATTTGTTAACAAACGTATTGTATTTATTTTCGTTTTTGATTTCGTTTGGTAGCCTATTATATACTTTTACTGACATGACCAATGGTCCAGAGGAGTGAATTGCTAATCTTGAAGTAGGAAGATTTAATCTACTTTTGTGTCTTAGGGTCATTTTGGATTGGATATCTTCGCGCTTGGTGTAGTGTTCCGGATATTTACGAACAAGTTTACATAATTCCAAGATGTAGATGCATGGTAATGTTAGGATTTTGAGTTCTTGAAAGTGTGGTTTACATGTGTCAGTATTTTTTATATTGACCAAGACTCTAATCAATGCCTTTTGCTTAGTAAAAACAGCGGGGACGTCCGTACTATTGCCCCACAAAATTACGCCATAGTTGAGCCAAGAATGTGCGTAGGCGTAATAAGTGACAAGTGCACTCGTGAGACATGTGTCCACAGCATAGTCACTGTCCCACCATCAGGTGAAACTGCTGCACCTTCCCCCCCCCCCCCCTCCCCCCGCCTATATAAAAAAAACACAAAGGGAGGATTCTCCGATCGTTATCATGTCTGCCACAATAATGTTATTTACTAAGTAGTTCGGCTTATCCTCGCTAGATGGCGCTTTAATATATTTAATACTAATATGTAGATGTTGAAACAAGTGTATAAAATATCTCAAATTTATTTAATTTTAAAGCACGAGTCAAATAAGATGTTTATGTGTTGTTATCTCTTTCTTACACGTTCTTGTGCCATTAACCTATCTCTTTTACCGTCTAAGCATATGTTTCTAATAATAACACAGACGGTCATCTGATCCCAAACTAGACAGAGCCTGTACTATGGTAACCAGACAGCTGATAAACATACTTGTATATTACTAAATACATACATATCATAGATACATTACAGCCAGCCACTGAACAAATGGTCGTGGTCATCGCACAGTTATTTATTCAGGGTAGGAATCGAACCCACAACCTGTAGCTCATGGAATCGTATAAAACGCACAAATAAATAAAATTGGAGTGTCTGTTTGTAATATTAGAATAACCGCTTTTTACTAAATGCATATGTATGTTAACACGGTACATATGCCAAAATAACATATTTTACAATTTTTTTGTCTGTCTGTCTGTCTGTTTGTTCCGGGTAATCTCTGGAAAGGCTGGACCGATTTCGACGGGACTTTCACTTTCAGATAACTGATGACATAAAGAGTAACTTAGGCTACTTTTTTTAGACTAGCTTCGCCGGTAACACCGCGGGTCTCAGCTAGTTATTAAATATATTCCTAATTTTTACTGCAATTTTTTTTATCCTTCTATACTTGTTCGCTATATTGTTATATACTCCCAATACTTGTTGTTTTTGTAATCGTTACTTGTATAAACAGGGGTGTTACTGAATAGGTGGTCAAATTTTATTTTTTTTAACTTAAATTTAATTCGATTGTCGCGAGTTCAATTGTTGTTTCCCATCTCCAAACAAAAATACATTCTTTTGTTAGTTCAAAAATGCCCAACGCGCATAAAGATGTTTTTTTTGTTTTGTTTCTTTATGTTAGAGGGGGGCAGACAAGCCTGATTGCGGCTATTGTGCGGAGCGAGAGTGCGTGGAACTCTGCCGTCTCCTTCTGCGAACAAGTCATGTTCGCGAAGGAGACGGCGGAGCGGGTCCGGGAGAGGTTTAGGACTCTCCCGGCCCGCCAGGCCCGGGAACGGGCCAGGTAACGCAGGCGACTCAGGCGCCGGAGGTCTCAGAACGACCTCCGTCTACCAATAAGAACGTCCTGGTTTAAAAATTGAATAAAACACACCATTTTTTTATGAAAAATGCATCCGATTGATTTATTTGATAGATAATTTTATGCAATTTATGTTTTAAATAATATATCGGCCAAATGACCGCCGCGGATCTTTTTGCAGACGGTCACCCGCTCACACCAATTTTCGATGACGCGGTGCACCATTTCGGCCGGTATGTCGGCTATGGCTCGTCGAATGTTGGTTTTTAGGTCACGAATTGTAGCTGGATTATTGCTGTACACTTTAGATTTAACGTAACCCCAGAGAAAATAGTCTAAAGGTATTAAATCACACGATCTTGGTGGCCAACTGATCGGTCCATTTCTCGAAATTAACGACTCACCAAACTTTCCACGCAATAATTCCATGTTCACTCGAGTAATGTGAGGTGGTGCACCGTGTTGTTGAAAATAAAGGTCGTCTGCATCAATATCATCAAATTCCGGAAAGAAATATTCGGTTAACATCGAGTTATAGCGCTCGCCATTCACAGTAACAGGGTTTCCTTCGTCACTTTCGTAATAATTTTGGACAATTTCCAAGCGTTGGTTTAAAATGAAACGTGACATGATAAAATGGCAAACCTTACTGAACACAAATGTCAAGAGACGTCAAAGATCCATCATCAAACATGGCCGCTATGAGCTGTCAAAACCAGGTCATCCCTATTACATACAGAAGTACTGGGTCTACCACCCAGTAATTCTGTCCAATATTTATGAAACCCTTTATTTTGCTTGTCAGTGCAACATCCTATTCCTTCAGAAATGGGTAACTGGTTTACTTTACAACTTAATGAAATAAAGATGCTTATTTTGGTACCCCACTCGTGAAAAGGGCCAAAAGAGTTGCTAAACTTTGGTTTTATTTATTTATTTATTTTATTACTTTATGCACAAGTATGGGTTGTACAAGGGTGGACTTAATGGCACAGGCATTTTCTCTCAGTCTACCTTAGGGTGGTGCTGAAATGTGTGACCAGGTGCACTAGACATTGGTGTGTAAAGTAAGAGAAAATTATTATGAAGTTAGACAGAAACAATAAGATTAATATACATACGTAACAAATACATGTTGTCCGTGTGGTGACGGATTAAGAATACAGAGTGTCACCACCCCTATTCATCCCGTGGGTGTCGTAAGAGGCGACTAAGGAAGCAAACTACGCAGGACAACAGCACTGCAGAGACAGAAGCAACAGCCATTAATAGTTCACTGCTGGACATAGGCCTCTCCTTAGAAATAAGGTTTTGACCTACTATATAACGCTGGCCAGACGGGTTGGTATACGGTTTGTGTCAAGTTTTCCTTCTTTTGCAGAAAGTGTAAGTGCTGGTGCCCTGCCTGGTTTTGCGCCCTTAGTCGGCTCTTACGACACCCACGGGATGAATTGGGGTAGTGACATTCCGTATTCTTA